GGGGGGTGGGGGGGGTGGACTCACAGGGGTGCCAGCATATCCTGGGGGACCCCGAGCATCCGTGGGGAGCGGAGTTAAAACTTTGGGCAGGGAACCCTCCTCCCAGGACCCCGCAAAGAGGGATCAGAGCCCAAAAAATCCCCCCGTGGTGAAGCCGAAGCCTCCTCTACCTTCACCAGCCTCTCGAACTCATCGATGGCAGCCCCCTCCCCGGGGAACTGCTCCTTCAAGCCCTGGAAATATTCCTTATTCCCGGAACAAATGCGGTACGTCCTGCCACGGCCGGGCTCCCCCAAAACCACGATGTCGTAGACGGCCGGCAGCGGAGCCCACTCCAGCTGCCCCTCCGGCCGCCGGTCCAGCATGAAGCGGGCGATGGAGCCCTCCTGCATCTCCCCCACGTAGTGGATACCTGAAAAATGCATTTTTAATTTATTTGGGGGGGGGTGGGGGGGGTGGTTTCCTTTTTTCCACACCCCCGGGCACACAGGACCCTTGTTTTATTTCCCCGCGCCGCCCCGGCAGCTCCGTACGGAGGGAAAAGGGAAAAGCCCAGAGCCCCGCGCCTCCCGTTCCAGGGCGAGGGGGACACGAAGCACCCGCTGAGGGCGGGGTTTTAAGCAGCTTTGAGGAATTTTGTTATAGGTCGATTATTTTTGCCCCACTGTAAATAATTGATCCTGCGCGGCTTGAGACCCGCGGAGCCGGACTTTGCCTTGCTGGAAGGAGTTTGCCGAGATGCCCTGACGCCCCCCGGGTGGGCAATTCCATAGGGGTTGAGCTGGATACAGGGAATTCTATGGGGTTGGGGTGTTGCAGCGCCGGGGGGGCGACCAGCGGCACCTCATCCGTCAGCAGGAGGGTTTCGGGGCGAGGGAAGGTGCGTGGGTTCCCATCGCTCATGCGGAAAAGGCGCTTGTATAACCCAGGGCGGGTGCTGCCGAAGCCCGCTCAGCCCCCGCAGGTGCTGGGGGGGTGCAGTTCCCACCCAAAGCTCTGTGCCCCCACCCTGCAGCTGAGCCCCCGCCCCGCAATGAGCCAGGGGTGAATTTGGGACACCCCAAATGCCTCCCGGGGGCCATACCGGTGTCGAACTCGAAGCCCTTCTCGCTGAAGGTGTGGCAGCAGCCCCCCAGCTTCCCGTGCTGCTCCAGCACCAGCACCCGCTTGCCCACCTTGGCCAGGAGCGCGGCAGCCGCCAGGCCCCCGATGCCGCTGCCCACCACGATGGCCTCGAGCCCCC